TCAGATCAGAAAGGCTTCCTGAATGGTAAAGCCATATGGACTCTCATTTTCAACTAGCGGTGAATTTCCTTTCTTTCATGCCAAATGCCTAGCCCCGTAGTGCTTTCATTTTGCTCAGTGTTGGAAGACTCAGACTGCCCTAAGCAGATCAATCCCCCTGAAGAAAATATTTCAAGCTTGCTTGGTTTCCTCCTCCTACATAGTGGTATCAATCTGTAAAGCACAAAGCTTTACAGAACTCCACACTACGTGGCCTTATTTTCCCTACTGTCTCCTAACATGGCATTCTGCTGTACAACTAAGACACGAGCACAGCAACTTAAAAGCATTCAGGAAAGGCTAAACGTGTCAACAGAAAGGAGAAAAAGAAGAGAGAGCTTATCCTATTACAGTTGCACTTTCCCTGCTGAAGAAGGGACAATCATCTCAGGACCCAAAGCAAAGCTGCATTTCAGCCCTAGGGAACTACTACTTCCCAAAACTCCTTTGAAAAGGGAAGTAAGCCCCTGAGACATACCACAGCCTTCCACTACCCGTATGCTCAGCTGTGCTCTGTGCCACCTCCAGTGGGCTGGATCCAGGATCCTGGGTGCTCATGCCAAGATCCCAGGATCTAGGTCCTGGTTGTTGTATTTGAGCTGTGTGTAAAGCCCACTGAGCCACGCAGAACTGCTGCTGGCAAGGGGAAAATACGGTCCAAAGCCCAAACTGGGCAGTAGAAGCCAGATGAATAAGTTTAATCTTTGGTCAGTTTTGCTGCCTCATGCTGTGCCTCCAGCCATGAACCCTGTACAAGCCAGGGTCTGCGAGGGGATGCACACCAACCAACCCAAACAAAGAGAGAAAGAGAGAAACAATGCTTTTGATGACAAAAAATGGAAAGTGGAATGTTTGCTTGATTCACCTTCAGCCTCATTTACACCAAACTCTCTGCCACACTAGGTTGGTCCCTGCTCCTCAACTGCATTCTACCGTAAGGCTGGCAGTGCTGGAGGTTTCATTTAATCTCCTGAAGCTGTTAGTCACAGATGCAAAGCTGAGCTAGAGAAGGGTGAGCCAGGATTTTATTTTTTGCTATTTCTGTAGAAATACCTCACTCAACTTTTTCTGGAAAAGAAAAGGAGAACTTAAAAAAGCAGTACTACTTGGTTTTCCCCTCCTGCCACAATCTATATTTATTGACACTGGCATTTTTAAAGAGCCCTTGGGAGGGACATTCGCTCTGAGGATATTTTCCATACAAATCAGAGAGTTTAGCAGGTGTTTATGTCACTGTCCTAGATTTGTGCTTCCAGAGAAATGCCAAAGCTGGCTTGGACAAGAAACTTTCAATGGGCCAAGAACTTCCCTCCCTAAGCCAGCAGCAGGCACCTTTTAGAAAAACAACGAAACCATACATTGTAAACAGCAAGATATATTAATAAAAGATTGTACATGCATTTATACAGCATAGCTGAAGTACGTGTAGAATTATTTATAACTTAGTCTACCATCTTCCTCACTTCTAACTGCAGAACAAACTTTTCTGTTCAGTACTCAGGGGGAGGCAGACATCTGGAGTACAGGTTGTAATAGTTCTCTAGCTGCAATGACAGCTCTAGAAAAGCTGCTATTTCTTGACTGTGAAAGAACATGTACTTTTCTTGCAGCTCTGCAGTCACATCTGGAAGAGACGCATTTCCAGAAGTTTGAAGACAGCAAGAAGAAGAGATCCCATCAGCTGGGGAAAAGATTGCTTCCTGCTCCAAGATAGGAGGCTAGATTCCTTTTGAACTATTTGGCATTCCATCAGGGGATAAAAATACACTGGCTAGATGAACCCCTGTCCTCTCTGACGGTTACAATACCTGCAGCAGATGGGTGTGCAGGAAAAGCCTGCAACTGCACAACTTATTAGTCCACGTTCTCATCAAGAAAGCTTTACTCATCAACAGAGATGCAAGACAAGGCCAGAGACACCTTGCTGAGGTGGCCCCAGAGGAAAGGGTTTCTCTTAAACTTTACATCATAGCCCCTTGTCCTAAATGTATGTCTCACACTAGAGGTCCCTGTGCAACATCACTGAGATGCTGGCTTTACTGAGATGTAGGTTGGACATCTATAGCTTTCCCACATAACTTGGGATGATCTGTTGAAATGCTCAGCAGAGGCACGGCTTCAGCATTTACACTGCAGTTTTGTATATTCTGAGAAAGGAGAAATCAACAGATTGCAAAATGGGAAATTCTGGTATCCACAAACAAATAACACGTTACGTAAGTGGGCCTTTTGGGAGTTGGAGGGAGATCTCCAGGAGATCCAGGCTCTCCCAGCACTTCCTAATTTTAGTGGGACTTACCAGCAAGCCGGTCCTCTAATTTAAATACAGTCTTCCACACTGTTTTCTTTCACCTTCTCACCTTCCTGCACTTGCTCTACCCTCTTTGTTAGTGTCCCAGAGAAACATATCTTGCTCAGTTTTATTGAACTGATCGATACACCCTAGGTTGGCAGAGCTGAAGAAGCACTGAAGACATTTAGAATGAGCAGCAAAGCAATTTCTTGGCCAGCCAAGCATGGGAAATATTAAAGTTTTAGAACTTTGACTTTACTGAGTCAAGTACTACGGAATGGCAGCAATCTACATAGCTGTGATTTAGCTGAAACACCGCACTAACACCCAGTGATGTAGTAAACAGGCTTTATCCCTGTGCTAGCACATCTTGGATTCCTGTCAAGGCAAGGGGAGAATACCTCTAAGCAGCAGCTCAGCTTCAGGACCAGATTTGCCTTTGTGCTGCAGAGCTGTCCTTAACTTGCACCCAGGCAAACACGGACTTGTGGGAGCTCTTCTGCAAGTCAGATCATACCATCCAACACCTGAACATGGACTGTAGTAGTTATGCTTCAGAAAAACGCCTACTGCCTGCCAAGCACATGGGCAGATGGCAATTTGTAAAGTCAGTGCCATCAACTTCCCAAAATATAAGATACATGCATGTCTTCTCCAACCTGAATGAAATAAACCCCAAGCTCTCATCTGCTCTGGGCTGCCAATCCTAAAGTGCACACCAGTGCTTCCCATGTACCGTCCCTACAGTATCAGCAGAAAACGGTTTAAAGACAGCAGAGATATAACGGCAATACCTTGGCATTTGCGCAGAAAGAAAACACACTCCATTTTTTAAGAAAGCTGTTTTTCCCATTTGTTTCATGGTGTGTACATATAGATGACTGGTTAGAAAAGGAAGGAGAAGGCTTGCAGTGACAAAGACACAGCAGTTCTTCCTGAGAGGTCAGGGAACAGCAGTGGCAGAATGTGGCCAGCCCATTTCCAGACTACTACCTGCTCACTGGGCTCTCAGCAAAAGCCAGCAGTGAGGAATGGGTGGAAAGTCCACCAGCAGCTGTCCCACTGCCTGGCCCCATGTCACGAGCTGAGCACTGACAGCAGGCATGGATACAGGTGATGCCATATCTCTTCAATAAGGAATGGCACAGAGATCCCAGCCAGAGCACTGACTCCAAGACAAAAGGGAAGTGAAATCAAACGTCAAGGTCTTCCTGTTGGCAGTCACATTTTGCTGGTAGTGATTTGGTTAAAAACTAAAGAGCCTTTGGTGGATATCCTTATAGACTAGTACACTGCATCTCTGCAGATACCTCCCTATGTCTCCTACAAGGAAAAAAATCAAATCCAGTAACTACATTCCTGTCTACTATGACTATTGCTCAGGAGCCTGGACCAGGAGCAATAGTGTATTGTGTGCTCCTGACCGTAGCAGGAATAACATACACATTTTGGCCTCCAGAATGCTGGAGCTGTGAAGTTCTTGCTTAGCTATTTCTGAGAAGTTGAAACACCATCTGGTTACTAATACCCTGCCTAAAACTTATGAATCACCTTTTTATTTCTTGTTGTTCCTAGGAGTTTTACGATTCTTCTGTTTGTGTCATTCTCCTTATTCACATGGAGCAAGTATGAGTAATGGAGAGAACGCACAGCCTATTCTCCACAATCACCTTGGGTCAGCCCCAGCTCCCAAAAGACCAGCTGTGCAAGATGCAGCATCCAAGCCACTGCTTAGGTCTCTCTTGACACAGCAGTGCCCTTTATCTAGGACTGCTCTGAGTCCTATGCAGTGGTTCTGTGCTACCGTGTCTACTGTTGGCAGGGTCTGGTCTACAGGTACAGACTTTGATGTAGGAGGAATCTGATGCTGGGGCAACACAACTCCAAGATCTTGCTCTCCCAGAGGCACAGCTGGGCAAGATGATGTCTTTCAAACATACCAAAGGACAAATGTTTTCAGCTGTGATTTACTGAGTTAACGGACATTCTCAGTATAACACGATAAACAAGGCAGAGCACAGTTTTTCCACTGGCCACCTAGCAGTACTTCATCAGTAGATATTCGTCTTTTAATAATTTGCAAACAGCCAGATATGGCTCCACTTGCATCCTAACCATGAAGCTTCTCTTCATGACAATACTTTTTCAGGAAATGCATTAGACAAGTCACCCAAGCCCACAGTCCTTAAAAAGGGAGGAAGAAGAAGTGACCTTCTCCAAATTCAGCAGCACTGAAGGGAGGAGTATCAGTGGCACAGGCCCAGAGGAACTCAGGCAAGTGGATGCATTTACCACAATTCACACTCTTGATTTGGACAGGTAACTTCATGGAACTGGGGGGTAACAGCCAGGTTGGTGTTCTCTCCTCCACTATAGAGCCAAAGCTATAGAGAACTGCTTGGCTCCTGGATAGAAGGTGGAAGGCTGGCCTTACACACCAGTTCCACTCTGTTCCTGGGAGGATGGAGTGCCTCTGAGTAGGCACAACTCTCTGACCTGCTAGCAAAGCAGGACCATAGCATTTCAGGCTCCCAGAAGCACACAAGAGCATTCAAAGCTTGCTATAACATACTGGCACCTGCACAATGCCAGTGCAGCTCTGGTAGCCATGTGCATTTAATTTCAGGAGAATGACAGACTATAAGTTACAAATAAAACCTCCACTTACACTATCTCATCATTCTGGAACTCCAGCTCCCCACAGGTGTCTTCGAAGTCTTCTCCTCCACCTTTGGCTGAGCCTTCAATGGTTTTATAGGGCACAATAACATTTCCTCGTGCGCCGGAGGTTCGCAACACTTTCACTTCCATGGTCCCCACACTCTCACTGACATGTGTTACTGGTTCCTCAAAGGTGAATATGCCAGCATGGTCATCGTCAAAGATGGTGACAGTGGCAGTAGATGGCGAGCCCAGGCAGGCAAGCGTGGAGACACGACTGGCCTCGAGAATACCCTCATCTGCCTCAGTGCTCACGCGGACGTTGCTGAGATGGACCAGAAAATTCTCATCCTCCTCAAATATGTCATCATCGATTATGCCAACACGGATTTCCTTCTGGGTCTCTCCAGGCTTGAAGACCACTGTCCCCTCAGTGAATTCATAGTCAGAGCCCGCGTTGGCCGTCCCATCCTCTGTCCGGAAGTCAACATAGACTGTGTTGGTCAAATCGCCACCCCGACGAATGATGGTCAGGGCAACGGTACCACAGTTCTCCAGACACTGGTAGGTACCCTGTTCAAAGTATAGCTTGCTGATGGGATCAGTTTCTGCCACCTCACTGTTGACCTCATGCATGCTGACAGCTTTGCGAGCCTGGTCTGCAGCATGTCTCTTCAGGATGTTGCCAGCTCCTGTCATAAGTCGAGTGGCCTGGATGCGATAGAAAGCCCTGCTCTTCTGCTGCTGACTTAGGACCTGGTAGTTGGCCAACTCTATAAGCTGCTCAATTTCCTTGTCAGGGTGCTTTTGTTTCAGTTCTTTCAGAATCCGAGCCATTTCCCTCCTGGCTTCCTCATCATCCTGGTCTTTTTCATCTACCTCCAACACCAGTGTCCCATCTAAAAAGTTTTCAACATGAGAATTAGCAACCTTTCCGTCCATCTCAATATCAGCTTTGGAGGAGGGTCGGTCACCCTCATGCTCAATGATCATGCCTCTCTGTTTGCCAGCTCGGTATTTCTTGTAGACGTACTTGTAAAATAAAAGCCTCCTGTCAGCTATCCAGGCAAACACTACGCAGATTGGGAAGAAGAAGAAGGTGAGCAAGCCTTCCCAAACCTCTACAATCCCAGGAGAAGACACTGATAAAATAATGTAAAGCCATGTGTAGGCAAAGATGCTCCAGGCTGCTGTAACAAAAAACACTCGCAAGTGCTTGATCTTCCTTATTTCTCCATCAGGAACAACATAAACACAGATTGCAATGATGACAAACATATTAAATGCAGCACTCCCCACAATTGTGCTTGGCCCCAAGTCCCCCGCTGTGAACCCGTGGCCGCACACTTCAATGACGGACAGAAGGATCTCAGGAGCGGATGAGCCCAAGGCCATCAGTGTGAGGTTGGAAACAGTCTCATTCCAGATCCTCACTGTGGTTTTGCTGGTCTCACCATTGGGCTTCTTGATGGTTATTTCCCGTTCTTGGGATGTGATGACTTCAATGGAGGACATGAAGCGGTCAGCTATGATGGATACTCCCAGGAACATGTACACCATTGCTACAAAATACACTGTTGCTCGAGCTATTTTGTCACCAAATGAGGGATCTTGGGGTTCCCATATTGGTAAGATCACACCCTTTTTGCAGATGTACGAGCCTGTGCACACCTCAGATTTGTTTGCAGGCACTTCACTGGGACTTTCTGCGTGTATGCTGTCTGCATGGAAGAGCAGCACCACCACAATGCTCAGGAGTTGGAAGTTCACCAGGAAGGTGGGTGGGTGAGTTGTTTGCGACATGGCCGCTTCCACTCAGCAGTTCCCACACGTTCGCAACCTGTGGAGACAAAAGGAAAGACACACTGAGGCTGGCAGGAGACAACAGATCTTCCTCTCCATCCAATTTTTTTCCATCTTTCCCAAAAGTATGATCAAATTACCCTGTTGCTCAAGAAGACCCATTTAATGAGCCCTAATTGTGTTATGATCACTGCAGTTTTCCATGTACAAATCATCTTCAGATCAGCTATCTGAACAAGGACTTAATCAGATGCTACCAGTGGGCTAGCACCTACTTCCTTCAGCTATACTGCTGTTTAATGCCTCTTTCTCTCTCTTTGCTGGAAGCCTATTTCTTCTACTATATTTTCTTGGTTTCCATCTAATTAGAATCCATCATTCAACTTAACAGCTAGCAGAAGTATTTCGTATTTCAAAGTTACAGAGCATTTACGCACAGGGCGGCAGGGTGAGAGTAGAAGATGACAGGGAGATCTACTACCCTCCAATCATCTTTTCAAATATCTTTATAAAGCACATGTTTTACAGTCTTTTCTTGCTCACAGACCTCCCAAGCATCTACTCCATATCCGTACAAAGCAAGCTCAAGCCTTGTCAAAATCTTGTTCTTGACTGTATTTCGGTCATAAGGCACACCAGAAGGGCAGTCCTTAATTAATGATTTTGGAGCCATTTCTTCCACAGTGCATCACTTTGCACCTTCCTGAAACTGGAAAGAGCCCCATATGCATCCAAGCATGGTTATCTTGGCATGCTTCAAGAGGAAACCTGTCCTTACACTCTTTTCCCACTAGGTCAGCTTTGCTGGCTTTCCCTGCAAGGGCCTTTCTCACTCCATTTACAACATCAGTCACTAAGCATGACAGCAGTATTTGCCCTTGTCCTGCCTCAGGATTTTCCAGCAGTGTCAGGGAGCTGTTAAAGAGGTTTGCAGTTAGTTAACAGTGCATAAAGCTATGGACCAGATGTCTTTAAGTACATAGAGATCCTTAGTGCAAATACCCGAGCATGCTCAGTGTTAAATTCTCAATTTTACTAGGCAATAGAAGTTATTAAAGCTATATTTTCTTCTCAAGGAGAGCCTTTGCCATACTACATTTCTCCATTCCAAGTTAATTTAATCACACAGTACTTAAAAACATTTCTATGAAGAGAAGGAAATGAGCATGTCAATACCTTTACTTTGCTGTAGCCTACAAAAGGCTGAATTGGTTTTGCTCATAAAAAAGAAAACAACACCCCAGAAACAAAAATGAAAAGAGCAAAGCTGTGGAAGACTTCATTTTTTTAAGAGAAGGATGGTATTTCCAGACCTGTTCATTCCAGAGACAATGACATAAGCAGGAGGTCAAACCAGCATCACTGCCATGCCTGGCAGGTCTTGCCCCCCACATGCCATCTGCCTGGTCTCTGGTAAACACAGAGGAGGTCCAACAGATCACAGGGTCACAGAGTCATCTAGGTCGGAAAAGACATTCAAGACCATCAAGTCCAACCATCAAACTGACCATCACTAAGCCATGTCACTTAGCACCAGATGTACAGCTGCATGCAGTTGGAGCTATAGATGAGTTAAAGGCTGCATCTCAGTTGCCACTTGTGCCTAGGTATGACCTGAGTGAGGTGGCAAAGCCACTCCTCTTCCTTCTTGAGGAGCGCTGTTCCTCGGCACAGCCGTGAGCTAGGCTGCTCTACACCCAGCACTGCTGATTGCATTCCAGGGAGATGTATTTATCCTCCTCAACAGGGACACACCAACACCTACTTAAAGAGTGCCTGATCACCACCACTCATCTCCTTATAATGCCAAAATCATCCCTGCTCATCAGGGCAGGGGCATTTTTTGCAGGGACAGGCTGTGTGCAAATGAAGAACTATCTGGAGGAGTGAGTACCATCTTGCACCCACGCTATAGAATCTACTCCTCAAAGAGATGTTGTAACGAGGGATGAATTTCCTCTGCTCGGTTTGCTTTTATTGAAGGATGCTGTAGTAGATAACTGATATGGAAGAATAATACAGAAAATATATTAAAACAGTTTTATGTAAATGACATCTCTTCCCTGGGAATTGTTGGTCTGTGCCACAATCCACTCCTTCAGTTTTCTAATTAAGTAAAGAAAAGGATACACTGAACAGGAAGTGAGCAATTCACAGAGTTAGGTGCTAAGAACAGATAAGATGAACAAGATGCTATGAAAAGCTCTTGTTGCTGGAGTCAGAAGTCTCTAATCCCCGTGCACGTTCTGCTTCTCAGAATGCAGGCACGAGTCGACTACAGATCTGAAGTAAAAAGCCGAAAACATGATGTTTGTAAAGAAGAGTACCTTGCTGCATGCCATTTGGTAGATAGCTATGTTGAAGCAGAAATGCTTTCACGGTCATTGAAGTTTAGCCAAAGCATGACCCAACATCTGTAATCCTGACTGTGTTTCATGCTGCTTTAAAGCAGTCTTGGAGACGTTTGATACAGGGAAACACAGGGAAGACTTAGAATCTAATCTGTTTATCCCAGATATGTCCTAAGTGCTTCTTTATTGTTAGTATTATTTTAAAATATGTATGCTTAAGAAAAAAATAGTATGGGCATAAAGTATTACTTATCTTTGTGGTTCTTCACCATCTCTTTCTAAAGGGCAGTAGTTTCAGCAGAAAATTCAAAACATCCACCTGCCCTTGTTTAGTTAATTTTCTCCCTGTGGCAAGTTATATCTCGTACATGTACAATTATTCAGAGCAACCAGGCATTGTGAAATCCCTTTGGCAAGAGGAGAAAACAGATGGTTCTAGAGAAAATATTATGCTTTGGGTCACTGATTTAGGTCATAAAGAATAGGAGAGTCCCATCACACTTTAGACCAACTCTGCCGTCTTAAAAGGATTTGAGCACTGGAATTCTCAGCCAGAAAAAAAACAAAAAACAAAAAACCACCCACTAAATCAGATTAATAAGTCACTTGAACCTTATTTGCCATCTTCTTCTCTTTCAAATATTCTACTACAATTTTTTTCTTTTAATCAAGTCCCATATTTTGTTAAACGGAAGGAACAAAAGCCTAGAGGCTTGCATCTGAACAATCCATCTTTCTGGCCTTCCCATGCAGCTCTCCATGTACAAACAGTGTTTTTCCCTTAGACTGCCGAAGACAAGAGATGTGGGACTTTTCTGGAGGGCTCAGATGAGTGGAGAAGTGCTGGACCTCAATAAGGAAAAATATGCCAGCCTTGGCAATGTGCAAGTGGCTTTCTTTGAGTGGCCATAGCGTCCCCCAGCTTTGCACTGGACACTCCAACATTCTGTGGTGCAGTCATCAAGAAAGATTCACAACCCACCTCCTCTTCTCCCCCGGTCCTCCTGGAACCAATTCACAATCAATGTTATTAACACCAGACTCAGAAATTATGGAGGGTTAGAAACTGCTTGGCCACAACATGCTGGTTATGTGTATACAACTGGAGTCGGACACGCAAAATCTCTTAGAGAAGCAGCTGCTATAAAATTAGCAGTGTTTCTTTATTTGCTCAATCCAAAATAAACAGCTCAGTCCCCGGAGACCCTCTTGCTCCGCATTTGCACGGGGTCTCGGCCCATGGTCAGCACTCTGCTGCAGAGGCAGCGGTAGAAATATTCCCAGACAAATCATTCATATTATTCTGTATCAAGAAGCAAGGCTACCGGAATGCCAGCTCTCCCTTCAGAGCCGACTTTGCTAGCTTTTCATTAAGGTGTCTCAATTGCATTTCCCAGCCAGGCCATCAACAAGAAAAGCAAACGCATGAGCTGGCTGTATGTGCGTGGTGACGAGCCACAAGCCACCACCCTGGATCGGCACAACCCTGCCAATAAGCATTGCCCTTACACCACAAAGCAGACCCAGAGTTTATTTTCTTGTTGGATCTGGTGCCTGGGGTCTTTCAAGCAGAGCTGGAGCTAACTGGGAGCCAGCCCCCAGCTCAGCTCCCCAAAAGCTCCCAAAGCACTAGCAGCAGCTTTCACACAGTCAGAGGGGAAAGCCTGCAGGAATGTGTGATCCCTTCGACGCAAGGTCAGCTTCCATCCAGACCCCAGCCATGGGACATTTGTCCAGCTTTTATTCCTGCCTTCAGGGTTGTAAAACCCCAGGAGAGCAGCTTCTGCACAGAGCGAGGCTATGAGGGTTGCAGAGATATTTGCCTTTCAAATGGAAAAGGGAGCTTGAGTTTTTCCCCCAGACCTGGGCTTTACAGATTGGTAAACTAGGAACTCATGTTCCTAGTTCGTGCTCCAGCCTGCAGCTCAGGAGAAACCAGCTTTTGGGACCCTCCTTCGATCATTCCCTGGCAGGAATACTCCTTCAGGTTGGCTGCTTGCTGCATGCAAAGCCAGCCTGAAAGCTGCTCTGAGCTTGAGAAATGCACAGCTTTTCCTTTGCAGCAGCCTCTCCAAAGTCCCGTTCCCGTCTGGGCACTTTGCCCTCACCATGTCTACTTTTAGACCCTGTACCTTTGCATGATCAGGTTTGCAACCAACTGCAACAGGCAGCATTGCTATTGAGAGCACTGAAATAATACTGCTAGCTTGGATGCCTTTGGTATAGGGTTTGGGCAAGAAAGGTTGGGTTCATGAGGAAGGAGTGGCCGCACAAAAAGACTTTCCATGGGAAATATTTTTCGAGCATTCGACAACAAACGTTCTGCAACACATAGCAGCTGTAACCCAGTGGCATTCACATCAGTACTGCCAGCACCACAAACAGATACCCAGCTGTGCCTGCCCCACTGTACCATCAGCATGATGGTGAATTTGATGCCAGCTTGTACAGCATTCCTATGGCTGTGCCACCAGTGCAAGATGGGAGCAGCACTGTTTGAAACCTGTCTTCTTCAAATCCTCACACCCTTCTCCCAGGTTGTCTTGCAGGCAAGCAGCACCCAATAGTCAAATGCAAGCCATTTCCTTTGGGAAAGCTCTGCACACCTCACCTCCATGGCATCTATCTTGTCTCTCCACCTCCAGAGGACTAACAGCCTCCTCCACCCCCCTTCTCACCCTTCCCG